GAGGCTTCATTGAGGCAGTTCACTCCTTTTTGAAATGAAAAGAAGCCTGACTTTTGTTCCCTGGCTTTGACTGCCCCATGTCCTACACATGCATGCTGGGGTTATCAAGCACTTCATGTTTAGGTTTTTTCTTTCTTGTTAACCCCAACTTGCCAAACATTTTATTATTGGCTGCCTTGGTGCCCAAGGGATGCTCCCCAAAAAAAAACTTCTTCTTACAAAACAGCCCATCTTTCATGATAGGCTTTTCTGAAGTCCAGCCTCCGTGTACCTTTGGGTCGCTGTTCGTTAAGGCCAGTGGCAGCGTTGACGGTGCGTGGTCTTTCATAAGCAGCAGTGGAAAGAGGAGCCATGAGATGAGGGAATAGGGCTCAAGTGGACCCAGTACGTGATGTGGGGCAGCTTGGGCATTCCCAGTGCACGTATCCAGCCCTGGCAACAGCAACCTCCCTCTGATCCCAAACATTTCTCACCTCAAGAGCACCCACCTCAAGGATGGGTAGACTCCCTGGCTCTTTCTTCCTCGTCCTTGTCTGCTTTTTGGGTTCAGCGTGGGGCTGGGAGATCCCCTCTCTTCTCCCAGAGCCTGATTTTATTCTCTGTGAGCTTCAGGGAAGTGCAAAGGGTGCAAGTGGGTCTTGTGAGGTGACTGCAAGGGCTGAAACACCATCTCAGATGTCTCCTGAGGGTCCACCAGCCACAGTGGTCATACCTGGCATCCCATGGGGACACCTTGGTGCCAGTATAGGACCTCAGCCTTGGTGCCAGTATAGGACCTCAGCCTTGGAGCCACATCCTCGTGCCTGCAGCCCAGCCTGTCCCCCCTCCTCAGCCCCACCAGTCCCCTGGGTTGAGTATTTATGGAACACATCTCCTCTGAAGGAGGATTTGGGGTTGGGATTGACCGAATAGCTGCCAACTCTCTGATTTGAACCTGGGAACGTTGTCCAGATCACGGAGGGACCACTTCCCTGTCTTCCCTGCAACAGGGTGGATTTCTTCTCCTTATGAAAAAGCAGTGTTTGGGGAGATGCTCCTCCCCACGATCTGGGGGTGGTGGGGAGCAGCGTGTCCATGAGGGACCTTCCCCTAGGCGTTTGCTTCCCTTTTAAATGAAGTGCCTCTTGGAAAGGAGTCAAGCATCTTGTATAAACAGCCTGGAGCCAGGATCACTCCGGTGCTCTGAAGGGAACGTGGGGATGATCCAGAGGGGATTTTTGATGGTGGGTGCGTGTGGGCGCATGCCTTTGGCCTCTCCGCCCCGCTGCCTCCCTGCCCATGACGGCTGCTTGCCTGCAGCTCCAAAAACACACCAGGCTCCGATGGGAACGTCTGCTCCGGAGGTTCTGCACTTTGGATTCGTGGAATGTCCCCGACTCCTTAACCTCCCACCATGCCTTCGCCTTCAGTGCCGTTGTGTCGGCTTTGCGTCAGCAAGACCTCCCTTCAGATGAGCTTGGCTCTTCTTTAAAAATCTCCTCTGGGTTAAGTGTTAGGGTTAAGATGGATGACAGCGGCTCCGTCCTCCTCCTGGGGCTGCTCGGCGGGTGCGTGGGGCCAGCGCAGAACATCTGGTGCTCTCTGCAGCTGGAAGGGACCAGGTTGGTGCTGGTTTCCATGGATCAGCAGGTTGTGGGTGGTCAGCGTGGACCCGTGGAGAGAGGGACGGGGATGAGAGAGACCATGCGAGAGGATGTGGGGGAGTGGTGCCCTTCGTCTCCACCAGCCTCAGAGGTCTGCTCTTCCCAGCTGGAGCATCTCAGCCAGTGCCAAGGTCAGGCAGTGCCCGGGCTCCTTTTGAGGAGCCCTCCAAATAGAGTCCCTCTCCCAGCTATTTGCCCTCAGAGCCTCCAAGGTTTTGGCCGTCGTCATTTTAATTAGACTTGAGTCTGCTCAAGTGCAGGGGAAGTCTTAAATCAGGGACATCTCTCATCTCCAGACAGTCGAAGTGTGTCTGGAAAAGCCGAGCTCCAGCTGCACAAGTGCTGGAGCAAAGGCTGTTTGTCTTTGCTCCGGCTGTTTTGGGATGGCAGCTTCTTCCCAAGCCAAAAAAAAAAAAAAAAATTATCTCCTCTGCCCTTCCCCTCCCATCCTCTGGACTCTCCGCATCTGAAGGCTAAGGCTGCTGCGTGGTCTCAGTGCTGGGGTGGGATCAGGTCCCCCCAAGCATCCCTCCTGCTC